ACATCACTTACGGGGGTTCAAAATAGCAGCAACAAAAAAAATCGCGGCTCGTGAGTGATGCTCCGTGTCGTCATTGGGTCAACCCCCCCCCCCCTTAGCAAAAAGTCAGATCCCATCATCCGCCCCTGGATAGGGGTAGGGGTAGGAGAAAGCAATTTTACGTCATATTACTCCAGGAAGTGCCTGAAAATGCACCTAATTGTGCTTCTAAAATTGCAAATGCTTCCTACTCAGGGAGGGGTTCTGACCCCCTCCCAGACCCACCCCCGCTTGGTCGCTCCGCTCCCTCGCCGCTGACGCCTCGCTCCATGCACGTTTTTCATATATTTCACCCCATGCGATTTTGTGCCCCCCCCCCCCCCCCCCGTAAGAAATTCCTGATCCGCCACTGTATTATGTAAAATTCACTTTAAATAGACCTTATTGCCGATGTGGGATATAAACAAGTATTAACCTCCTTTACTCGTCGGGCAATGGATACAAACTATCATCAGTGATCTCGGGGCTACCATCTTCCCTCGCCGATGATAGTTTGTACCAGGCGCGCCGGAAGCAGTTTGGGATTGGGGGGGGGGGGCAGACATTCCAGGGGGCTCATCTTCCAGGGGCAGTGAGTAGTGACGTAACGAGCAAAAACGTTTGGAAGAGGGGGGGGGGGGCAGAAGAAAAATCTGCATCACCACCACTCTTACACATTACATGCATGCCCCGCGGAACGTCTTTTTAAAGTGGATTATTAACGATCAGGTAGATCGTAAATTGGCGTGGGGTCCAGGGTCTGAGCCCCGGTAGGGGTTTTAGACATTGAAATCATGGTCAGATAAGCATATTTAAATACCTTATTTGTGACATTGGCAGGACACTAATTTGAGGAGAGTCCAAGGAGCAGAGCCCTCGGGAGCTCGTTTTTTAAAAGTTATTTAATAACGGTCAGATGAGCATACAGGAGACCGCCCTAGGACCCTTGGTGGGGTCCAGGGGGCAGAGCCCCCGGAAGCTCAGGGGTTTTAGGAATTTAATAACGGTCAGATGAGCATACAGGGGACCGCCTTAGGGCCCTAAATAGGGTCCGGGGGCGGAGCCCCCGTAAGCTCTGGGGTATGAGGCATTTTATTATTGTCAGATGAGCATCCAGGGCCCCACCTTAGGGCCCTTGGTGGGGTCCAGGGGGCAGAGCCCCCGGAAGCTCGGGGTTTTTAGGTATGTAATAACGGTCAGATGAGCATACAGGGAACCGCCTTAGGGCCCTTGGTGGGTCACTTATTTTTTCTCTCTCTCTTTCTTTCTTTTTCTCTGTAACAAACTTTTTCAAAAAGTGAGGGGGGCTCGGGCCCCCGAGCCCGGACGTTCTGCAGACCATGACACAAAGGCTTGTAAATAAGCATATTTTTCGCCCGACTGTAAATTTGGGAATTTCTAATTTTCCAACAAACGCATAAAAAGGTATGATAAAACAAAATTGAGAAAAAATACAGGAAATTACTGGTATCGAAAAAAATACCCCCCCCCCATCATTACGTCAGCGTTCAGGGGCTCATGAGAGTCTCACTCCTATAAATAACAGACACACATTCCCATTCTCTCACAATATGTCCACAATATGCGCGTATCGCTATTATAAAAACCTCCAATGATAATGCGCAATGTTTAGGAAATTCAATTCCTGTTAACTTTCCTTTTCTTTGAATGGAAATTTATATGTCATTTAATTCAGGTTGTTATAATTGTTATGTTCTTTGGGTTAAAAAACAAACCATCTTTACTCCTTTACCTTTTTTTTTTTTTTTTTGAGGGGGGGGGGGGGGAGGGCGTTTTGGGGGGCAAAAATGCGTTTTGTCCCCCCCCCCCCCACTTGTATCTTGGATCTTGGATTATTTTCCTCCTAAATACTCCGAAGAAGAGTTTTGACTGGAGGTGGGGGAGGGTGGACGATTACATTTTGGAACTAAGTTCTTTAGTAACTGCATTTTTAAATGAGAGCGGGGAGGTTTGGTCGATGGTTGCTTGTTGTAGGTTGTTCCATGTCTTTACAGTCCTTGGGAAATATGAGTTGGCATAGACGTCCGAGTTGGTGTGGCGAATTTCAAATTGGTTGGAGTGTCCTCGTCTACGTCTGTCTGGCTTAGGGTTGGTGTGAGATTGGTAGTCGATGTCGAGTTGTCCCCTGATCATTTTGAAGAGGCAGGTAAGGCGCTGTGCTTCCCTTCTGTCCTTAAGAGATCCCCAGTTGAGTTGGTTGAGTAGCTTGGTAACGCTGGTGTCCCATCCATAATTATTGGTGACAAAACGTGCAGCCTGACGTTGAACTTTCTCGACAGCATAGGTGTTTTTGGCTGTATAAGGGTCCCATGCTGCAGTGGCGTAGTCAAGGTGTGGACGTACAAGAGTAAGATACAACTTTTCTTTAACATTAGATGAGCAGTGATGGAAGTTGCGTCTTAGGAAGTTAAGGACCCTTGAGGCTTTGCCGGTTGCATAATGAGTCTGGCTATTCCAGCGTAGGTCTTTCTGGATATTGATGCCAAGGCAGTGCCGGATCCAGGGGGGGGGGGGGGGCCCGGGCCCCTTGAGAAAAAAATCATGTAAAATCACGTGATTTTTTACCTTTTTTGGGGGTTGGGCCCCCCCCTGGCGCTCACGGGGGGGGGGGGGGGTGCAAATTGAAATTTTTTTGAGGGTCAAAAAAAAAAATGTGCTTACTACCCCCCCCCCCCCCCCCCCCCCCCCCCCCCCCCCCCCCCCCCCCCCCCCCCCCCCCCCCCACTGAGCGATTTTTTTTTTTTGGCCGGCGCGTTTTTCAAATTTTCGGGAGCAAAAAACAAACAATTTTCGGCCGGCGCGATTTTCAAATTTTCGGGAGCAAAAAAAAAAAAAAGTTGGGCCCCCTCCCCTAAGAAATCCTGGATCCGCGCCTGCCAAGGTATCGGGTCTGGTTCGTTTCCTCCAGGGTAACATCAAGGATTTTGTAGGATTTAGTACCCGGAGTTCTCTAAGTTCTTGAAACACGCATGGTTTTGCATTAAGAGGGATTGAAATGCATGCCCCAAGTCTTGGACCACTGGACCATAGTATCTAGGTCTTGTTGAAGAGCTTTCTCATCTTCAGCAGATTTCCGGCGCATATGGTTTGCACCATTATCCTCGTAGTCGTTTAATATTTGTTTATTATTATTTTACTAAATACTTGAAATACCAATTTTACTTTCAGTACAAATACTACCACTACAACGAGTAAATAATTAAAAACGATGCCAAAACCAAAGTTGAAAAGTGAACATATTAAATACCCCATATAGCACCAAAAAGAAAGAAAAAAAATGAGCAAGCGCAGTGTGCAGAGCTCCAAATAAATGACAGGTGAAAACAAAAGGGAAGATCCTCTGTAAAATAAATCGTTAACTAGAAGAATTGAAATATATGTATCTTCGAGCATAAACAAAAACAAGCACTTCAGACAGCTACAGTCGCCAGGTCGTGGGAGTAAACTTTCGATTTGCAACGCTTCGAGGCCTACCGATAAGACGTGCAGTGAATGCGGGCTTTGTGTATGTGTTGTAAGCCGGACAGTTATGTAAACATTACGTAATGAGAGCGAATCGAGACCGTCCTTGACCTGAGTTGAGGACACGGCGAACGTGCTTGCGATGAATTAATGCAGGTTCCGTCTGCAAATAATGCGAGCGGTCGGAACAGTCCACATCCTCGAGAGGGGTGTATCGGCCGAGGAATCGCGTTGATGAGATTGCAAATACGGTCATTTTCCTCTATATTTTTGATAGAAGCATGTTTAAGCATATTTCAACACACAAAGTACCAGATCACAACTAGTGTTGATATTGGGTTAGTCCATTCAAGAAGTTAATACTAATAAAAAGAACATAATAATTGTTTTGTAATAGCTTATTTATCGCACGTACCGTTTCTCAAAGTCGACGGGTCGGATTGACTTTCTTGCCATAACACAAGATGTCCGATTTTTGACCGAATGTAACATGTACTCCACTCGCGCATGTTCTGACCGCGGGGAACAAGCGATGCAACCTGAAAGTTTGCCGATTACGTAATATCGGGCTTCATCGGATATGCACAAAATCACAGCATGGCACCTAGGGACATCGTCTGAGCTTTGCTTGCAAATTCTAGGTCAGTGCTTTCATCTCTTCGATGATTCTGGTGAGCAAGAGCCCCATTGCGTTGTATTTTGGCAAATGTGACCTCAATGCCATACGTTGGTTACGATCGACTTCGCTATAGATCTACGATAGCTTGGCTGAACTTCGAACGCAAATGGTGTTTGCATTATATTGCTGTAATTATTGCTGAATACAATTCTACACGCATGCTATTCGTGCTACTATAGCTAGCTCGCTGTTGAAGGGTGGTAAATTGTGTGGAGTAATTTCGCTAACTAGGCAACGCTTGTTCACTTCTTACTCTTTAAACTAAGCAGGATGAAATTTCATCGTGGCGTTTGTGAGATAATTGAGGAGGTTTGCATGAATTGTTGCGTTGTGTTGGTGTAATTTGTAAGCGACGGCAGTATTCGGAAGTTACTTCTGTGTGTGTGCTCGCTCAACATGCGAATGATTTGGTACGCACGGCAAGAGATGGACCACTGCCACTGCCGCCGACGGCATGCATTCATGGCTACTGTACTGATGCCAGTGGCATTGACAACTTCTAAATGTGCTTGAATGTGGAAATTGGAAAATGTTGCCAGATGGATCAAGACAGCTCTAAATTTAGACTTTAGCTAGTACAAGAGGGTGTAGAATTTTACTTCATCTAAAATTCTAAGCACTCTTCTTAAATTTGGATTAGACTAGAATCTATCAATTCACATTAATTTCAGCATTGGAATGTTGAACTTGATGTCCTGAATTGCGACTGTTTACAAAACAAGGATTTGTATCAAAAGTCAAAACTTACCGCTTTTCATTCTTCAAATCAAAGACAGTGGAAATGGATTTACTAGACGCTATGCCATTTCAAAATCTTGAAATGCTGAATTCGCCCACGGGCTCCGTCCATAATGGGATCCACAGCCCTGGGGAGTCGCTTGATCTAGCGGATGGGGACGTGAAGGGGGCATTTTTTTCCGGGGGCCTGGATCTAACTACCGGAGATGGGTCCTCCTCATCGGCTGCTGGATCTCCTGAGACATTATCAGGACAGTCTATGCTTCCTCATCGTACAGGCTCTGGCAACAGAATAGGTGAGAAACATGCATCTGTTTGCATCTTCACTTTACTTCAATTTTTCTCCTTCATAATAAATTAGATACTGCAAATAACTAACCCATCAACGTATATGTACATACATGTACAATACATGTACAGTATACATTTGTACATGTATGATGTACTGTCAGGCGCGGATCCAGGATTTCTAAGGGGAGGGGGCCCAACTTTTTTTTTTTTTTTGCTCCCGAAAATTTGAATTTTTTGAGTCCCCCAAAAAAATCGCAACGACTCAGCCAGCCGAAAAGTCGCTCAGTGGGGGGGGGGGGGGGGGGGGGGGGGGGGCCCAACCCCCCAAAAAGGTAAAAAATCGCGTGATTTTGCATGATTTTTTTCTCAAGGGGGGGGGGGCCCGGCCCCCCCCCCTGGATCCGCCACTGTGTACTGTGTACATGTGCAAATGAATTGTTCATGTACCGGTATATTAATATTACTACATTGGTGAAGTAATTTGTACATAACATTAACAAGGTTGGATGTGAAATGCCTACGATTCAAAATAGAGGCTGAGTCTGAGGTAACATCTGCAGTGATTTGTACGCCTCCGCTTACTGAAGTTGGTGCCAGAGACATTACATGTACGGTATGTTTTAGGGTTGTCCGTCCGTCCGTCCATCCCGTTTTCTTGTTAACGTGATACCTCAAGAACCACTTGAGATATGAACTTCAAACTTTACGATGTCATGTATCACCATAGCCATAGGAAGACAATCTGAGTAGATTTTAGAGTGCAGACCATGTAACTAGGTCAAAGGTTACAGGGGTCAATTTCAAAAATTACATGAGATAGGCTCTTTGTTTTCATCTTGATATGTCACAAATAATTCATCCCTTTCCTATACTGAATTTAGGGCTGAGGTCTTTGGATTTGTTAATTATATTTGTGCACCAAAAACAAGGTGAAATGGAAGGAGAAAAGGAAAGGGAAGGAACTCAAGTCAAAGTCAAAGGAAGTCATCAAGATCGAGAGAGAAGGTTTCGAGCAGATCACAAAAGAGTGAAGAGAGTAGTTCTGAAAAGAACTGTTGGATTTCTACAACAAGCAGTTTTTAAAGGAAATCCCTAACTACAGATGTAAAGTATTCTTTCTGTTTCATGTTTCATACAGTGTACTCTATTCATTGTCAGGAGATTAACTCGTGTAGTAATTTATCCATTGACTTTTCACCCAGTTAATTATCTATTTTAATATATAACTGAAACTGAAACAGGATACATTGTAAATGTTCTAAGGTATGTGGGATAATGATAATTAAGATCTGGAATTCTATAGCGTTTAATATGAAATATCATTTCCAAGCACTTTACAGGTCTATATTATTACCCAAGTCATCAGATTGATTCACGCACAATGTGCACCATCTCCACTCCCTGGGGAGTATTCCTACAGTATGGTTTAATACTATGTGGGCATACAGCAATTATGGGGATTACACCCACAACCTTTCAGAGCTACCAAGTATCACGCATTAGGCGTGACATCATGCATTTCGAGGGTCTGGAAATGCTCTCATACACGGCGCGCGCGCTAGATTTAAAAAAACCGCTATACCTTACACGTGTGTTATAGGCTCGCTCGCACGCCGAATCAAGCAAATGTCACGCATTGCTGATCTTTGAACTTGGCGTCTCTGAACCTTTGCAATTCAAGTCAAGAAAAAAAAGGAAAGAGAGAGAAAGAGAGAGAGAGAGAGGGAGAGACATGAAACTTTTTGGAAGGGGGTCTAGTTTAAACATTATTACAGTCTCAAACAAGAGCTCTAGAGTCTATGCGAAGAAAAATTAAAAAAACAAAAACTTTGAAGTTCAAAGTTCAAATTAAGATTTCAAGTGCCTTGGCACCTGTTAGTGTCAAGCCCTGTTGTGTATTGTTCATCATGTGGAGCTTCTTCACAACTGAATGACCCTGAGGCAGGCGCGTACACAGGGGGGGGGGGGGGGGGGGTTGGGGGGTTAAACCCCCCTTTGGTAATTTTTTTGTGTAAATCCCCCCTAAATTTCTCTAAAACCCCCCCCCCTTTGGAAAATTCCCATGGTTGACCTAAAAAAGCTGACCTTACCCCCCCCCCCCCCCGTTTATTCAGCGGCTGGCTGAGTCGTTGCGAAATTTCGGCCCGATTTATAAATGTTAAAACCCCCCCCCCCCTTGAAAAAATCCTGCGTACGCGCCTGCCCTGAGGTACGCGTAATAATGTAAAATACCACTCATACAGTATGTACATGTACATGTATAGGGGTTGTATACAGTGTTGATATTTGCACTCTCGCAAACAATGCCTCCTGACTCCTGTTCATCCAAGCGTGAACAAATACCTCACAAAAATGATACCAAATGATTTGGGATGTTCTCAAAACACTCTTTCATAAGATGTATATTAATTTACTTTTCATAGATGACTTTTAAATTAATTCACAATTTTCTAGGTGTAAACTTTTTTTTGACTCACACTGTAGAGTTACCAGGTATCTGTGACAACCTTGCCCTTTCACATACAATGTATGAGTAGCTACAAACAGGTATACTCGTACCTGTGGGCCTCTCTACAGATCTATCTCCATGTCTATCTAGGTGATGTGTTGATTAGTGAGAAGTGGTCCCTGGCTAGATCATCTTTAGAAAAATGCACATTATTTAATCATTTTTTCTCTCCATTTTCCAACCTCCTACTGGGAACTCCACATTTGAAGCAAAGTATGTGCAGTAGTTGAACATGAAGCCTAGACATGTTATTTATGGATACTCACAAAATGGAAGCTTCTAAGTGCGGGCTTAAGGCTTAAGCCTATTATTCAGTTTCAAATTCTTATCATCGATTTATGTTTCAACTACATGATTACGGTACATGTAGCGTAGGGAGCTTGGAGCCATTATCAAGCATTCCTAGCAGATGTTTACTACATGTACAATTCAACCGGGGACGTTTCACATATATCCTAAGTCGAACTAAACTCTAAGTTGGATTTAAAAATTATGGAGAGCTGTGTAGCTTTAAAAAAAAATACATTCAAAAGTAAAAGTTGAAGTATTTTAGACTTTTTATATAAATTACACATCAAGAACATGAAATCTCCTTGATAATTGAAAACATGATTGATTCGAATCAACATTAATGCCTTTGAAAATAACTTTTACAAAATATTTTCATTTAGCTTTTGATACGAAGAGAACAACATGAGACTTTAGTTAAAGATAAACTCCAGTACTGGTAAAAAAAAAAAAAATAATTCTCACAGAATCAAACGAAACTTACACTGAATGTTCAAGATTACAAATAAATGACATGTGCCAAACAATTTGGAAGAAAATGTATACTGGCTGAGTAATGAGCATAGAAAGACAAGGAAACCAAAGGTAGTACCATCCCCGACACGATGTGTGTTGTCCCATATATAGCTTTCTATGTGAGTGTTTGTTACTTACCAAGACTCGGTCAAATTTATTATGATTTGATGACTCCAGAACCTTGCAGTGCACACAATACTTACATGCTACATGATCAACTGTTTCTGATCCTTTCACACCTTTTCTTTCACAATGCAATCGCATTACCAGTACTAAAGTTTAGCTTTAATACCAGTATGTTTCTTTCCAATTCCTTTTTGCTACCCAAAACTGTTCTCAAGGTTGAACAGGGTAATGCAACAAACCTGACAGTTAGCATGTACTGGTGAATTGCTGTTTGGTTTACAACCAGTTCGTCTACTTACCCAATTGCAATTGGTCTATTTTTTATATGGTCTACACCCAGCCCGTCTACTATCCACATGGAGTAAAAATAATTTCGTCTATTTTTCATTTGGTCTAATGACCATTACGGCTAATGGTCATTTGGTCATATTTCCATTTGGTCAAATTTCCATTGGTCTAATATCCAACTACCCATTTGGTCTAAATTGTTCATTTAGTTTGATAACAGTTAGTCTAATTTCCAATTTGTATAATGCCCATTTCGTCTACCATCCATAAGGTCTAATGATCATGTGATGATATCAAATCATTATTTATGAATAGTGGTTGTACATGTAGACCAAAGGGCAATAAACCCATACATATATTTGAGTCCTCTCAGCAAAATGTAGGACTGTGAGATGAAAGGTCAATTAGGTGAGCCGCACACACAGACACTGTGCTATAGGCCTACTGTATACATGTATATATAGCCTAACAGTTTTCATCAGGAACTCCGGGAAGTACATGTACATACATGATCTGCCTTCATAAAAGTGTCTTGCAGGATGATGATAATGTTGTACATTATAGTAGTTGGGTTCACACGGCAATCCGTAAACATCAAGTTTAAGGTACACCGTCATTGTTTTAAACTTTGAGGTTGTCTTGTAGTTATGGATTGTATGGACACACTTGTGATGTAACTTAAAATGACTTAAAATGACTTTGGGGTTATGCCAGCTTGTTGTCAAAACTTTGATTACTTATTGTTTTGGTCCTGTGTGAACCTTCGTCATTGATAGTGGATTGTTGTTTTTAACTTGAGGTTTTACAAACTTTTAAAGTTTAAACCATGATGGTTTTGTGTGAACATGGCTAGTGTCAGTTCCAATACCTCTCCGATTCTTGGGAGAATTGGAGGTGAGAAATAAGGAAGCGAGATTTTTATCAGAACAAAACTGTCCTGACAGTTTGAGGGGTACCACAAAATATGTTACAAATTTATGGGGAGGATATATTTGCACTGTAGGCGTGTATGTACATGTAAAGGATGTGATTAGGTCGATCTAGCTGAAACCCAGTGCAAATTTTGAGTAGGTCCTGTGTATACAATGTATGCCCTTTTGGGGGAATCAAAATTGTAGTCCAGTGTTCATATACAAATGCATTGAGCTACTGTATATGTGCATTATGTAGTTCTGAGATTTATGACATACTGTGAAATTCCTGGCATCAAAGTAGTATAGTCAACCAGATAGTCATGAAACAGAAATGGATGCAGTGTGTGCAATTGTTAATATTCTT